CCCACCCCACCCCTTGCACCTGCTTGCAGGCGCTTTAATCCAATGAGCTTTTTGGCCGGTCCTTTCAAAATAAAAGTTTAAAAAGGACGAGGGTTAGAGCTCAATGGTAGAGTATTTGCCTAGTATGCTCGCCCTGAGTTCATATTGCCAGTGCTTGCTTACACACACACACACACACACACACACACACACACACACACACACAAACTACTTGAAAAACAACTAACACTGGGCCTGGGGTGCATTGCGTGCCTTGCCAACCTCATCCCCATCAGAGGCGCTGTTCTCACCCCCGTTTTATACATATGAAAACAAGGGACAGAACTGTTGAGTATCTTGACCAAAGATTCCCACAGGCTGAATGAGTGCCACGTCAGCCTTTGACCTCAGGTCTTTCTCATTCTAGCACCCCCATTTTTCACCCATATGTGGCCCCAGGACTGCCTGTCCCCTTCATCCTGCTTCCAGCTCTTTGCTCCTAAGCCAGGGTGACCAGCTCCCTTTGGAGAAGCAGCCTAGGATCTGAGATTCCATCTCATACTCCAAGACACCCCCACATTATGGGGAAGAATTCTGGGGTCTCTAGACATAGCCCACCTCGGGCTCCCGAGCCACTTGGCTGGGGGATGGAATGCCCTGGTTTCTCCTTCTCTCTATCTGGCAGCTCAGCTGTGGGACTTCCCCTGACCTCAGCATCGCATCGCTGTGCGAGTGGCGATGATGCTGCTGTCGGGCTCTCTGTCACACAACGTGCCGAGGAGCAACTTCTGGGCCTCACGTGGTCCTTACAGTACCCTGACAAGTAGCATTTACTGTGCTCCTTGGATGGGGAGACTGAGGCTCCTAGTATCACAGAATGAAGGTCATCAACTTCTTCACTGAAGCCCAGGGAAAGGAATAGATAGATAACCATAATGTCCCCAAAACATGATGGGCTAAGCCAGCCCTAACTCCCCACCAAGATGTTTGGGGGGTTCCCACATGAGTCTCCTCTGAATGCATTTCAGAAAAGTTCTGTATCTGGGATAGAGCTGGCTGGACTCAGGCTCAGCGCTCCAGGACAGCCACTGATTCAGGGTGTGAGCTTGGAAACTGCTCCTTTGCCTCCTCTGGCTTCAGTTTTCTCATTTGTAAAATGTTCTTTCATGAGCCAGGAAGATGGCTCAGTAGAAGAAGTGCCTCGCTGGCAAGCGCAAGGGCCTGAGTTCAATCCCCAGTTCTGAAAAAAAAAAAAAAAATTATTTCACGGGACCAGTACCATGCCCTGAAATCTGGCTTTATGTAGCATGTTCCTTTCAAGGCTGGACATCATCTCCTGAACTCTTGGCATGGCAGCTGCTGCCCCCACCTCCACAGCAAGATTAATTTCTCCTGCTGGAGCCAGGATCCTGAATTGGTCAATTTGTAGCAGTCACTGTTTCCTGGGGCTCTCACTGCCCAAGCAGCAGGTGGCTGTTCCAAGTGTTTCAGAGAGAGCCGAGATCCAGCTGGGACAAATCCGCCCCTCTGGGGTGACATCTGCTGGAAGGTGGCACTGAATTATATCATATTATATTGGCATTTTACCCTGTCCCTGTGACTTCTATTTAGCCAAGTAGGAGGCCCCCACGAGTCCCACTCTCTGTCTGGGGACTTCTGGTAGAGCCATCACGGGCCACACCAAGCTGATTGCACTACAGAAGGGGTTTGGGATGAACAGTAGAGTGACAGGCTCTAGACCAGGTGGGGACAGCAGGGGTAGACCCACAGACAAGAAAGAAGGTAGGGTACAGAAGACCTCACCCAAGGGATGCATCTCAAAAAACCTGTCACTTAGCATGGGTGTCCCTGGAGACTTGTGTAATCATTCATTCATTCACATTCTCTCTTGATGAGCATTTTCTGGCCATCAATGTGCTGGGGAACCATGCCAGGTTAAGGGGACCCCGAGCTGGTGAGGAGCTTGCCTCTCCACTGAAGGGTTCACAGGCTGGCCCCAAGACAGACTCCATCCCAATCCCAAGTAGGACAGAAGCTCTGCCCCAAGGACAACAATAGACATGAAGAAAAAAGAGTAGGGTATCTGGCTCCCTCTTGTCCTTGGTCCTACTCAGGTACAGGGACCAGAAGGGTCCAAACAAGACCAAGAAGAGGACAGAGGCTGAGATAAGGAGAACAAGCAGAGACCCACATGGGAAAGGACCTCAACAGGAAGGGTCGCTCCAACAGGCCCTGGGCAGGGAAGGCAGCAGGCCGATAAGGAGGACAGCCAGGCTCAGCAGGGGAGATCCAGGTCAGCAAAGCCAGAGGCCAGAGGTGCTCCATCCCCAGTTCTCTGTAGGCAGAGTAGGCATTGAGAGAAGAGGCACAGCCTAGGAAAGCCATGACCCTCGCTCTGAGTCCCAACATCTGCTGTCAGCCTGCCTTCTGCCCAAGAGACCGCAGCAGCAAGGCTGCCTCCAGCAGTGCTCAGTGCAGGCCTGCTATGAGCTTACTCTGCAATTGGAGAAGCAGCTCATGGAGGTGCTCAGCAAGGGCTCCACCTGGTGGCAGTAGGCCTTGGAGGACAACCTGATTGAGGGTCAAGTACACTTTCAGGCAGCTGACCGGCCCAGATGTGGATGGCCACTGCAGCTACTTCCTGAGCACTAGCGTTGAGGTCAGACAAATGCCGGACCCAAGGCCGACTCTTTCCAGCTCTGCTGCTATCAGATCTGCCTCCAGGTCCCCGAGCCACAGCTTTCTCAGCTGTCAGGTGGGCATGGTAGAACCCACTTTCTCAGGGTGCTATGACGATAAGGGATAATGTCTACGTTAGGGATCACACACAGCTGCCACTACTGTGATCACCAGGACCAGTTGGGGTGCGGCCCAGGCTGGCCAAACTGCCATCAGAACAGACAAAGACCAAGGGTCCATCAGGCTTGGAAGAGGATACTTACAGTAGCCCTTGGCAGCTCCCTGGGGATGCTGAGCCTACTGCTGCCTTCCTTGGAATGGGCTGTAGTTCCTTCTCACTAGAAAGATTAGAAATGGAACCCCAGGGAGGCAGATATTTGCTCAAGGCCACACAGCATGAGGGTGGCACCGTGTCACTGGAACCTGGCCCAATGGCACAAGTCCTCTGAAGACTGGCTGCAGTGTGCTCAAGTGTCCAGGTGCCACACCTCGAAAGACCTGAGCTAGAGGCCTGCTCTGCACTCATTCTGTCATTCATTCCAATTCCACAAACACCGAGTGGCTGGCACATGCCGGCCCTGTGCTCAGTGCAGGGCTCACGGGGGATGAAATGACTTGGCCCCAACTCACTACTGCTCACAGTCTGAGGGGGGAGGCAGCAACCACCAATCGATGGCCAAACAAGCCAGTCACCTCTGTGGAAAAGCAGCCAGAAATGGACACAGGGAGAGCTCAGAGTGATGGGGACGGCGGGAGCAGGAGGGCCACGAGGGCATTCAGGGTGGAAATCTCAAAGAGGGGACATAGTGGCTGGGCCCTGGATACCAGGAAGGAGCCGGCCATGTGGAAAAAGGTGACCAGACAGAGCTGGGTGTGATGAGAAGAGATGAGGCCGAGTGAGCAAAGGGGCAAAGAGGAAAGGGGCCGGAGGACAAAGGCTGGGTCAGACCCAGGAGGCCACAGCAAGGAGCTCGGCCCTCGCTGCAGAGAGCAGGAGTCCCTGGAGGGTCCGAGCAGGTGTCGATGGCTCCGGCCTGTTGTTTCCAAAGGGCGGCTCTGGCCACTGCTGTTTCCGTGATGCTCAGCGGTTCCCTGGCCTTGGTGGACCTGGCCAGGTGGCTTCTACATTCTGAGTCTTCGTCTCCTCCTCTGTGAAAGGGGCTAACAGGGCCTACCTCCCACCGTCACTGCAGGCCGACAGGCGACCGTCCACACAGGGCACTTAGCCACGTGCCCCCAGCATGGTTCAGTGCTGGATGAAGTGCTGCTCCTTGGCGTCTCACATCCAGGGCCGCCTCCTCCACCGCTGGACACAGCCTGGCAGCAGGACCCGTTGCATCTGCGCAGGAAACACTGTGACTTCTGCGCTGCCCTCAGCTGCGGGCCATCAAGGCCAAAATGCAGTGAGCTCGTGCCCATCAGCGGCCAGCAGGGGATGTCAGTGGAGTTCAGGGGCAGAGAGCAGCCAGGCCCCCTCTCAGTGAGGGCTTGCAGGTGGCCTTAGCATCCATCAGCATCTCGGCTCCATTGCCTGGGTGCCTGAGATGTACAGCATGTCCCCATCAGGGGTCACAGAGGGGTGGCGAGCAGTAATGACTGTCTTGGCCGCTCCTGCAGTTGGATTTATTATGTCACAAAGAAGCGATTTTGCTCCTGGCGGTAACAGGCAGCCGGCCCATCTGTGCTTGTAGCGATCCAGGGTGCCAGGCCTGGGAGGGGAAGGTGAGGCTTCTACCCACACCTGCTGGCCAGGGTTTCTCGGACCACAAAAGCAGCACAGAGCAGCTAAAGGCCCAGTCTTCAGAGTCAGCCTGAATGAGAGTCCAAGTCCTGTTGGCCGTGTAACAGCCAAGTGCCCTGCAGTGAGGAAACTCACTCCCTGAACCTGTTTCCTCATCTCTGAAGGGGAGAGAGAAGCTCTTTCCCAGAGGCTGCTGTCATGGGGCCACAGGACGGAGTATGCAAGGTGCATGGTGCAGGCTGGACACAGGCCCCAGCACCCTACCCACTGTTCACAAATGTTTCTTCAAGTCTAACGGGACAACACAGCAAGAGCCATGGTCTCCTCTTTTTTAAGAGAATAAAAAACAGTAAAAACAATGAGAAATGATACAGAATTTCACTAAACAAACTAACAGGAATTCAACCACGGTTGTTCTATTGCATATTATCTTCAAATTAGTCTTTCAGATTACCAGATACAAGCCTGAAAAACCATCTTCTCCTATCCTTAGGCAGTTTGGATGGAAGATGTCCTGAACCCTACTTGGCAAAAAGGATCCTGATTATCAGAGAAATTACCTTGGGGCCTAGACACACTTTTAGGGTCAAAAGATGCTGGACTGCTCTCTTTGGCAGCACAAGTACTAAAACTGGACTGATACAGAGAAGATTAGAATGGCCCCTGCACAAGGATGATATGCAAGTTCAGGAGCATTCCGTATTTTTATGACCTACATTAAAGTCATGTGACCTTGAAAATAAAACTAACAAAACAAGCACTGCGCTGGAGCTTTCACGTGGAGAGTCTGGCTCTAAAGCCCAGATGAGCGGCCTGGGCCATCCTCAGGGCCGCCCATCCTCCCAGCCTGCCCCACATGGGCCCTGCTGCTCTCATCTGCCAGCCTAGTAGAGGCTGGAGACCAGGCCAGGGCTGTGTCGGCTTCCAGGGCCTGGGCTCCTTGTCCTTCAGCTGCTCCCAGCTCCCTAGATGCCCTGGGTAGAGCTGCCCAGTCCTGCAGCCTCCCTGTACCCTGGGTGAACCAACCTCCCGAACTTGGCATAGCAGGTTCCCCTCCAAAGGGTCCTCTCCCAGGTCTGGGAGGATGAAGATGACGTTGGGGGTGAAGACAATGATAGCAAACACATGGATGGCGTGGGGCTGATAGTGATGATCTTAATGGCAATGATAATGGAAACTTCTGCCCAGATTCCCCAGCTGATGTGGACCCACAGGCCTATAGAGCACAGAGATTATTCATTCAATTCCTTCATTCTTTAGCAAGGGGAACTGAGGCTCAGAGAAGCAAAGGAGCTGTCTGCGTCACGCATCCACACCAGGGCAGTGTGCAGGCTCGGACTCTGTACCACGCTGGCTGCCAGCTTCACCTCTGTCCTCCGACCCCTTTGTCTCCCCGCAGATGGCTGCACCACTCCATGGTCTCTCACCTACCCCCACATCAGCTTTAGTCACCCTGGAAGCTCCCGGCACTCTCTAGCTTCTCTGCACTCTTTCTTTCCAGTGACCATCTGGGGCTGGCTGGCTCTGACGAGAAGCCAATGTCCCCTCTTGATGGCACCACTGCCTTCTTTCTTCCTGGGACTCCCAGCAGCAGCAGCAGCAGCAGCAGCAGCAGCAGCAGCAGCAGCAGGAGAGTGCTGTCCTAGGTGCACCCTTGCACAGGACAGGGACACCAAGGCTGGAGAGGCGGAACCTGCTCAGGGTCAGGTGACAGACCAGGAGCTGAGCCCCAACACAGTCTCTGGGCTCCAAGCCCCTCTGTCCAAAAGCACCATTGCACTGCCAGACCGTCCTTCCCGGAGGTGTCAAGAGATTAAGCACACCTGCTTCTCACCCACCTTGTGCCCTGAGGATGGGCCTCTGCAGGGTTCCTGTATGGCTTCCCAGCCTCCTTGCTCTGGTTATTTACAATACACAACTTCATTGTTTTAATATGGTTCCTTGGTGTTTTAAAGTAACACCAAAGTACAAAAGGTCCGGTATCCCCAAGTGTCACCCAGAGATGACAACATTAACATTGTTGGGAACCTCCTATGGCAGTTGCTCCCCATGACCCTGAGCCATCTCCCCTTCTGTCCTGCTCTGAACCAAGAGCAGGGAAGAGGGGACTTTATGGGCCGTATCAAGGGTGTCTTGGTCACTGGCTTCCAGACAGGGCCAGCAGGTGGCACCCGCAGAACCTGAAGGCTCAACAGAGGAGGGGCCCTTAGCAGTGCTGTCCCTGCCCTGACCCCAGCTTCTGGGACAGCCCCTCCTCCGAGGCTCCAGGTGTCACTGAGCCCAGAACACTGCTCCCTCCCACGTATCCCCTGGTGTAAGAACAGCTTCCTGGTGCTGCTGCCCCCTGGGCACCTCACACACAGGGTGACCTCTAAGACTGTCACCTCCACAAGCAGTCCCCACATTCAAAGCTCTGTGTGACCACCCAGGACTCTACAGACGCTCCAGGCCCCTTCGCAGAAGTGTCCCTTTGCTTCCCTCCCCATGTGGGCAGAGCTGACCATGAGAGAGAATGACTCTCTCTTCCCCTCTACTCCCTGAATTCTTCATGGAGCAAGCAAGCAAGGGACCAGCGACCACAAGCACTCACAACTCCAAGCTTGCGTTACCCTGACTGGTATGTCACAGGAAAGAAAAAGCTGCTCTCTTGCATCCGATAGCCACACGCCAAACCCCAGGCACCAACTCTGATTGGCACATTCCTTGGACCCATTGCTAATCATGATGGGTCTGGTTGGCCTTTAAGTTGCTCCTAAAGAGGGAGCAGGAGGCTGGAGGCTGGGATGAGTAACCATGCCTGAATCTCCTGGCCTGGGACAGGTAAGAGGCTCAGCTCCCTAAAATGGTGGAGGATCGAAATAGTGTGTGTCAATTACAGTAGGTATCATTAACCTTCCTTTACAAAGGAGGAAACTGAGTCAGAGAGTCTAAATAACCCTAAAGGATAGTATATGGCAGAGTGGGGGATCCGAAGCCTCGAAGCCATTAACAATTGAGCTACAGCGCCTCCCAGGGATCCTGGCTCCTACAAGTACACCCGAGTTCCAACAGGCTGAAATTCCTCATTCCAGTCCAAACCTCACAATCCTTGTAGCCCAGGCACTCATCTCCTAGAAGGCCCCAGAACGCCCCAATCTAATCTTCGTGATGGCTGTAATTTGAAGTGTCTTTTTGCCTGGATCACAGTGTGTGAAGCGCACTGCCCGTGGCAATTTCCTGTCCACTGAGAGGCGTTGAAAGCGAGCACATCAAACAGAACAGAGCCCAGGTCAGTGTTGCCAGGGGCGACTGTTCGCCTGCAGATACAAGGGATGTTGAGGATGCCGAGGTGTGAGCTGTTTGACATTCGAGCGAAGGCACAGAAAGGTCAGATGTATCCCGAGCTTCCCCGGCTCTCCTTCCAGGCTCCACCTGCCCATTTCCTGTAAGAGACACCATGCTCACTGAGCCTCAGCCTGGCCCCTTCGTTTCCAAGAAGCTGAGGTTGGAAGGCTGAGACAGCTGTGCAAGCTCAGCGCGTGTTCACAAGAAGCAGGTTTGCTCAGGGAGGACATGTGAAGTGCCAGGCATGGGACAGGCCCTTTGGCTTTACTTAATTTAATCCTCACTCTCAAGAATGGTTCTCCCTTTACTCATGAGGAAAGTCACAGATATTGTCCCTCTCCATGTGACACACTGGGAAGGGCAGAGCTGGTCTGACCTGATTTGTCTCAGACAAAAGGCAAGTTCTGTCCCACTGCACTGGTCACTGTCCCATTGTCACTTTGATCCTGTTGGGTGACCCCATTCTGGGGGATGCTAGAGCCCAGCAGCCACACTTCCTGGACATCTTAGAGATAGTGTGGGAGAAATCAAGGTATTGTAAATAGAAAGGAGATGAGCAAAATCATGATTTTAAAATTGTGCCTTAGGGACCGGGGAGACAGCTCAGTAGAATAAGTGTTTGCCTGGAAAGCACAGGGTCCTGAGTTCAATCCCCGGTACCACTAAATAAATAAATAAATAAATAAATAAATAAATAAAATTATGCCTTTAGAGCTGAGGAGATAGCTCAGTGGCCTAAGTATCTGCCTGGCAAGTGTAAGGTCCTGAGGTCGATCCCTGGGACCAAATAAATAAATAATAAAATAAAATAAAATTGTACGTTTTTTAAAAGTACATCTTCAGGATTCAGTAAAAATTACCCATAGTTACAATGTGGCACTCTTCTTGGAAATTCACTCCAAAAAAAGTCCCTAAAGGTCTTAAAAATACAACAAGCCTGCATATATGAACTTCACGTGAGGTCATTCTGTTCTAACCATTCCCCAAGCCCACACAGACCTTCACCCTCCAGGAGGCAATGCTGGTCAGCAGGCCGCATCTCGTAACTACAGACACACACGATGGGTTTGCTTCCTAACCTAGCTCACCGAGCGGGTGGCCTGACACACACCCAAGACCGCATAAAAACCCAGCCTCAGACAACACACAGCTCATTCTAGGAACACCCATACTCAATTCTGCGTGTTTCTTTCTGCAATCTATGCCTCTCGCTGATGTTTCCTGCAATTCCTTTCTGTAATGTAAGTCAGCAAGTCCACAACCTAGGTTGAGGTGAGTTGAGTACCCTGTCTCTTTGGGGGGCCCTCCTTGGATCTTATCCAGTGACATCCAGAATTCCAGTTCCATTGGCTTTTTTCTTTTTTTTAAACAGGGTCTACAGGTTCTCACTACATAGATGAGACTTATAGCGATTCTCTTATTTTCAGCCTCCCAGGCACTGGGATTACAGGCATGCACCACCATGCCCAGTCTCAGTTGCTGACTCAGCACAACCCCGGGGCCAGGGCTGGCACTGCACATGGTGCCAAGGATCAAACCCTGATCCCTGCACCTGCCTAAGCAGGTGTTTTAGTCTGCTGAGCTATCGGGGCAGCCCTTCTATAGGCTCCGGATGCCAGGATAAACTAGCAGGACAGTGAGGTTCAGGGTGGGAAACACTGGTGTTCGTTCTTTTGTCTTTGTTGTGACACCACAGAAGCAGCTGTGGTAGCCTGTGGCTAACAGTCAGTGTTCCGTGGCCACCAGTCAGGAGCAGATGCCACTCCCTCCCTTTGTTCCTCCAGCTCTGAGCTGGTGGCTGTCCCTGAGCTATTACCCCAGGTTACCTCCTTTCCCTCCCCCTTTCTGCCCTCCAGTCCTCCTAAATCTTTATGTCCCTTTCCTCTGCAGACCACTTTCCTAAGTAGACCCAGAATGGGGCAGCCCTGAACACCAGAAGTGTCCCAGAAACCAGGCAGAATTCAGGGATGGGCTGAGCCTCTGGCTGGCCACAGCAATGACCTTGTGGCCATGGGAACTGAGGTCCTGGAGGCCCACTGCATGCAAAGGCATCTACATCACCTATGTTGTCACCTGAATCTGCCTTGGATGAAATATCAACTGAAAGCAAGACTTTGGTTGTCCAAGTGGCCACAGCTCATGACCATAGCAACTCATCCCATGACGAAGAGTGGGGTTGCCTGATGATTTCCAACTCTGCTGGAGAGTTTCCAGGAAGGAAATGGCAAGTTCTGATCAGGTCAAAGTATCCTCAGAGAATCAGAGTCTTACAAAAAAAAAAAAAAAAAAAGTCCTAAAGAAATGTCCAACCTTTCTTCACCCCACAGAAGACACAGCTGGAAATCAAGCCCTAAATTTCACCCACACCACATTTTAACTCAAT